CCCCCAGACCCCCCTTCGCGTGCTCGCTAGTGGTGTCCCCCCACATTTTTAAATGGATTTGCGCGTCCTGCCTGCAGTAGTAATTATAGTATGCTGCATCTGATCTCACACCCATAGCTGTACAGCTGTAAATAATATAGCTCGCGTGTGGGTATATATATATATATATATATGCGAAATGCTATCAAAACATGGCACCAAACAACGTCGTAACGGTTGTGTTAATGTAGGAAAAGTCTCTTATTTAGATGGTTGTTAAAATTCTTATGGGTGTATGGTGGTGCCTCGTGTTTAGAGGTAAGGGGGGACCTCGCGTATGCTTATATGTGCTTGCTTGACCTCGTGTCTTGCTATATTGTAGGACCTCCTCTATATGCTTTGGAATACCCCTCTTTTACCAAATCCTCCTAAGCGGTGATTTCTGTCTCTGATATGGCCATCTGTGTACCATTCTAGGTATCCACATACCTTATTAACCAAATGTTTGACCAGCGAAGGGGTTTGGATTCGCATGGACTAATATAATGTATAAGTGGGAATTGCATGGCGTAGGACGGTCCGATATATGAGTTACAGTCAGGTATTACAGGTATGACAATCTATTTCAGGCCCTCCCAACTATCAAAAAGTACATGGCGTCAGATAAGTTCATAAAGGCTCCCCTCAACGGCAAGATGGCGAAGTTTGGCAACCAGTAGACCTGTGGGAGATCACGAATTTCGAATTTCGACCAAGCTTTGGATTATCACACACAGCGCCTGAATCTGTGACGTCATCGCACCATCTTGAATGGACTTCGGGGAACAAACGCTCGGAACTGTCGTTGGAAAGATTGTTGTAAATGGAAGATTATTTTTAATAATTCATATTATATTTATATTCGCCTAAGCTATAATTGGATTTTGAAACTACAGCCTACGTTTGGTTTCATAATTTATAGATATAGGAGCAGAATGCCTATGACTGTGAATGCAATAATATTGGGATGTGCAGAAGTTAGTTGTTACATCTATTTATGCTTATGCATATGTTAGGGAACAGAGTTTTGCAGAGTGGCTTTGAATCACAGATGTTTGGTATACGCAGTCGTTGAAGCAAAATCAAGGGTAGCTGAGCAGTTTTTCGTGTTTGTGTGACCACAAAATTCCACAATTAGAAACAAATTTTGCAATATGTTTGATGAATTTAAATTCATGCTGCGTCATTCCATCTGTGTTAATTGCAGCAGTAGTGAAACGCATGGTGTATTCACGCATAATTCCTGTCTGGAAGGCATGTCTCCCTAACGCCTAGGCTGTGAGAGATTCTTTGATAATTAATTGTGGTAAGGTTGGCCGCTTTGCGTGTCTTGTTACAGGCAAACAACGTGTCCAAACGGTTAAATGATATGCAGAGATGTGCTTAAAGTCAGTGTAGGGTAAAGTCCATACATGTGATCATATGAATATTACTAATATTCACACAGTGGAGCGGGTGTAGCAAAATAAAAATAGTAATTTCATTACAAAACGTACTTCATGCACTTTGTCTCTACCTTGTCTATGTTGCTATGCTAATGTGAAACTGCTACAGAATCATAACAGGAGTTGTAACACCATTGCAAGGATTCCAATTTCATATATTTATATTATATATTATGACATAAACTACTTGTATTACAACAGGCGTACGTGAGTGTACGTATCTGCCGTAACAATAATCCGTGTGTTCTGTCTGCACGGTGGGACGGGATGTGCGTGTCGTCGTCGTCGTCGTACCTTGAACCTTACGGTCATAGATAGCCTATATACACACGCGTCTAGTGTATATAGGCTATTTATGATCCCGACAACATGCTTATATCTCGCCTGCTGGATAAGATCCTGACCTTCCGTGTATAAGACCCTAGACTAAGAGAACAGGAGCGGATTAATATAGTGGCAAATGTAGCAAGTGCTACACGCCCCGCACTGCAGCTGATATTATGAGAGCCTCAGGTATCACACCCAAACTTCCAAAGCAGAATTTGTATAATAAAGCTAGTTATTTCCTTAGATGGGTCCCCACTTGTTCAAAAGATTTATACAGGTCCACTGCTGCTGCTGCTGCTGCTGCTGCTGCTGATGATGATGATGATGATAATGATAATGATGGTAAGGATAATGATGACGACGAGACGACGACGATGATGACGACGGGACGACGACGATGATGACGACGGGACGACGACGATGACGACGACGATGATGGTTATTTACAGGCGATCGTAAAATCCCTTACCTCACCTCACCTCACGCACTCGATCATTTTCTGTGTGTTTAAGCCAAACCACGTGCGTCACGTTATTATCTTGTTATACTAGCCGGGTACCCGGTGTTGCTCGGGAAAAAACGCTGCAGCCTGTTATTAAAAAACTAATAAACAGAAATAAGAGATTATATATATATCTTGCATAATTTATAGCTACTTTCGTGTGAAGCATCTTATTGCCGTTGGTCGGCGCTAGTGTCGCGTCGCTGAGACACGGTTGTCCAGCGCGAAATTGAAAGAGTAAACATCAGATATAAAAGACCAATAATTTACATGTAAATAAGCGTCAATATCCTCAACAGCGTCGTGTCTTATGTGTCGTGGCATAGAGCCTATGAGCAGTGAAGACCAAAATTAATAAATAGATGTAGATATTTATCCCGTGACTCCGTGAGGTCTAGTCTTCTTGCACCATGGCCCCAGTTCTCGGATATTGGTATTTCAGAGGGGTGAGTTACATGATATCATGATGATATCAGGAGTAGATAATAGGGAATTCCCTATTATCTACTCCTGATGATATAGTTACATATACAGTTAGTTTGTTACATATATAGTTTCCTGCAACAATGCTACAGTGTATTCAAATGTAGAGACAATGTATACAAATATGTATATCCAATGTATATAATTGTATACAATACAATATGGAAGGGAATGTTCATGATACAATGTGTAATCCGTGCGTATGTATGTATGTGCCTGTGCACGGGCACTTGGAACAACAATAATAAAACTCTCTTATTCTTGTTGTTTGTGCACAGGGCGTGCGTGCGGTGTACTTGTGTGTTGCAGATGAGCATTTGACCGGCATTTACAGGTGATTATAGGCGAAATAGAGTAGAGAATTTGGTAGTAAATACATTTCGTGTTTATTTACTCTTTTTTTTATTGAGACGTTCCAAGTGTCTGTGTGGGCTCGCGACACAAATGATTGTTACAACATAGAATTTACAAACACCATGGTATAACCACAATATGGGTGTTATCAAAAGCGTATTATAAGAGGGTCCTTCTCAATACGCTCTTGGTGTTATAATTGTGGTATACCCTACAACGGGTACCATATATACCCTACAACACCCATGGTTGTTGCAAAATGCAAACGTGGTGCAACTACACCATCGATGTTGTTGCGTATACTCTATAACACGTACACATTCTTTGCTATCTTGGACGAAAACATGGCTTTGGTATATGATATTGATTAGGTTCTCAAACAAGTACATTGCAATCACCCAGATTCTATAATTGTGAACAAAGTGTATCCCTTGCAACTATAGTGTTACCACCAATTGCTTGTTAACGGATGCTTGTATTAGCGTGAATGGCTTATGCATGAAAGCCACGTTGCATGGTTATATCTATCGCGCTCGTTCTGATACATTGCATGCCCTCACGGCTGAGTATTCTAGGTACCATCAGCCCTCGACACTAACGGTTGTCCGATTGCCCGGGACAAGTGAAAGTCTATGTCGGACAAGTTATTCTCTTGCCTAGTTGCCCGATCGGACAACTGAAAAGTTCGAGTTGTTTAATATTCTTAACATCCTCTGAGCCAGAGCGCTATCGCACCACATTCTCACTTCAAACGTTTTCAAAGGTCCCTGAAAAAAGCAGGGCCCCGCGACACCCACTGTTACCATTACAGATTTATTCAGAGCGGCAATGCGTACCTCCCTGCGGCCGGCGGCATTGATTTATGTACTGGGGTGGGGTACGATTGTTTATAAGTCGGTTGGGGCATATTCATTACTGAATATGTAGGGGGTGGGCATCGCTGGATGAGAGGACGACAGCAAAACTCTTTCCTGTGATGAGGGAAAAGCTGCAATCGGTAATGACACACAATGAGCGTGCCAGCATGCAAACGTAAACGTGTGAATTTCATTACGATTTTACATGTACTGTATTTACTCGTGTATAAGTATAATTCATGTATATTATAAGTCTCACCCCATATTTTGCATTGAAAAGTTGGTACAAACATTGGGTACATTAACAAGATTTCTTAGCTCGTCTATAAGTCGCACCCCCTGATTTTTTTTATTGAAGTTGTGTACAAAAAGCGCGGTTTATACACAAGTAAATACGGTATATATATATACTGTAAGTGTAATACACACGCACGCACGCATGCAAAGCGCCGTGCAGACACATGCCTAGGTATGTGCGAGCCTATATGCACGCAGGGAATACTGGCAAAAATATCAGGAGTGTACAATATATATATATATCTACATCTATCTATATATGTTATATATGTATATATATATATATCTATTTATATAATATAGATCTCTATATTATACACTCCTGATAATATGATATGCACTGAACCAAAAGAGGACATTAATGGCTCATAGATTGCACAAGTAAATTTTGGACAAGTAAAATCAAAATTCGGGCAAGTAAAAATTGCTTCTTGTTGCCCGACAGGACAACCAGATCTGAAAATAAGCGTCGAGGCCTGACCATGTATCACCAAATGTATTTCTGGGCCTGAAACATTGGGCGGGCTTTCAACAAGCTCGGTGCAAAGGTGAAGTGTTTCTTATAGAGAACTGATTACTAATGTTAGCATAGCATCCAGGGCAGTTGCTAGCAGAGAATGGGAAGTGTAAAGAGGGAGAGGTGTCGCCCAGAGGAATCTATTATGTTATTACATGGCGATGTCACATATGTTGACTAACAGTAGTCTGCATGATTGCATGGTTCTAGTAGCTAAAACAGCAGAGGAGCAGATCAGACAGGATCTGCTTATAGATCAGGCTGCTGATCTACGTTGGACGTATGACGTGATCACCTATGCTCTCCATATTACCGACGAAGAATTTGTAGGTTTCAAATTAACTCCAGTGCATTCCTAACTAATGTCTTTGATGCTCATACTCCAAACTACTAGCGACAAATGTACAATATTTTTTGGCAGAATAAAATTTTAATTTTAATTTTCAGCATGCAGGTTCTGAAAGATATCATTGAAATTTTGATGGTTCGACACTCGGCAGTATTTCAGTGTACAATTCTATGCAGTTTAAATTGTTTACGTGCTCTTGTACACATATAGAAACGGCCGAAAGACGGTTTTCTTAAAGTGCTGCCAACAACTCTGAGGACTGTGTCGGAATTCCTGGGTGAAAAAGAATGGTTTACCGGCAAAAATGTTAGTAGAAGTCATTTCATAGCTGTTTGTGCATCGCTTCAACAATAAGACATCTGTGTTATAATATTATGGTATCATGATCATATCTATACTCAAGTTATATATATATATAAATATATATATACGTCTGAATGCGTATGTGTGTATGGGTATGTGTGTCTTTACTACAGTGGTAATATGTTTTAATTGCTGACATTTCTTGTCATTTTCTAGCTGAACATTGTGGACTTTATCATATATGAGCTTCTTGGCATTCACCGAGCATTTGTGCCAACATGCCTCAATGACTTCGAATATCTGCAGACCTTCTTGTTCTGCCCACTCATTGCTATATTTACTCCCAATAACCTGCTCAATTCTGGGTGTACATTATTGTTTCTTTAATAACAATGATAATAAATTTGCAGTTTATTCCTCGTGAGTTGATGACTAAACCTGTGCTTTTATTAGTTGTGAGGTGGTATAGGTAGAGTAGTACCACTATGTTAAATAATCTGTTGTCTAATGCTCAACCGTGCTCTCCCATCTATCAGGAAGTACTTGGCGTCCGATAAGTTCATGAATGTGCCAATTCAGAACAAGATGGCAAGGTTTGGCAGTACATAGAGCTGCTGTGGTGATCATTCTCCAAAGTTTATTGCACATGTCTGAACCTATAACATCGCCGCACTTCAGTAAAGAACAAATAATCAGGTCTGTGCAGCTCGAGATGGTTTGGTTCAGATGTAGATAGCTAGATAATTTTTTTATTCACATATATATTTTTGCAAAGACTATTATCGAACTATAGGTGACACTATAGCATATTTGTAAGCTAGTCATTTCCCAATTCGTAGGTAGAAAATAAGTCTGTGTATGGTTATGGTTGTAAGTGCAATAATATACAGTATTAAAGTAATTTGGTACTTCAGTAACTACAGTATTATTTTTGTACCCTTTTATGTAGAAAGTTTGAGTGCAGAAATAAAGTAAACTAGAGTAAATTTTACTAGTGATAACACCAACAAAAACTATATGCATTTGTTATTTATTCGATATAACTATGTAGCAAGCCGATACATATTTTTAATATGCTTTAGTACGCAAGCAATATATAAGCCGATTGTATAAAAATGCAAAAAAATAATAACAAATTACTGTTTAGGGTGCAGCTATATGTACATCCCACACCATGTAATGCGTATGCAAGCATATTTCAAAAGGCTAAATATGTCACAACATGCAGATTATGCCAAAAATATGAATAACACGTATACAAGTATTTGTAGTATAAATCAAACACAGTGCATCACAGTTCTACTGCAACAACGTTCAACAACAAAATAGCATGGAATGCAAATATTGGCAAGGTGCTTACTAAATCCACCCTGCTGTAGAAGCAATAATAAACGTCATGGCAGAGATTTATAGTTCCTCAGGCCGGAATGAATACAGCAGCTAATGATCAGTACTTTTGGTAATAATATCACGTGAATAAAACATACACGTACTATATATAGAGATTTAAATATAACCTTAAGATGAAAGCACGAAATGATATCATTTTTTTTATCATGGTTGCATAATATCAGGAGTCTATCAAAATAAAATTTTATAATTAAAATTTTGATAGACTCCTGATAATATGTTTCATACCTTAGTATAATAATTTCATATGGGCACACACACCTTTTCACGAATTTTACACGAAACAAACACAAAGTAATTTATAATAAATGCTGCCAGTTGACAATATTTAGGCGAACCTTTGTGTTCGTTCACCTAGTTAGTTGTTTACACCGGTCATTATGCTTGGGCCGGTGTAAACAAGGGATGGTTCAACCCATCGATGAACGCTAGACAAACACAGGAAAGGATTAACTCTACTCTCACTCGTCCGTTCACGCCCGTGTTGGCAGATGGCACCACCAGACAGAAATCACCCTTAACAAATTGGACCCATTGTAACACATAATCTATAGTATATACAAGTGATGTCATGTTTATAAAGCACAGATATCGGTGCCACCAGAAGGCCACATTATATTGCACAATTACACTGGACTGTTATTTAGTATATTTAAAGACGGCCAAGTGAATAAAAAATGGAAGCAGCCATTACATATTACCGCGAACATATATATATATATGTGCGAATAATGTGTGCACGTGTTCATGATATTACAACCTCGCGTTTTCATAAATACCTAAAACGTAAACTAATAAAACACAACTCAACCGTGCTGCAAAAATGCTGCGTATTCTCACAGAGAAGGGTATTGCAAGATGGCCTGATGCTGCTTTCATACCTATAAACTCACTTGGCAGACAACATCAATAGCAATATGGGAGGAGCTGTAGCATTAGCTGCTAACGACCTTTGCCCTATTGAGAATTTCAAATTTCTCTAAATCGATTATTACGAACATCCTTTTAAAAACCATTTGCTAATGTTACATTGAAATCAATAATAATTTTGCTCGTGTAGAAAACATTATTGATTGATGATTTGTTTCACACAGCTCGAATACGAGCCACAATTTCAGATGAAAGCGTTGCACATCACCGGAGCATTGCGACGAATGTAAATTGCACCACGTCAAAATTCTCCCTTCTTATAAAACCAGATTTGTGTAATGCTATGCATCTACACATACGCGCAGCACTCACTGACTGCTAAGCGGAATATAGGAGGAATAACAGGCCCTGTGCCTTTCCGTCGCTACGCCCACCACATACAGCATCACTGCACCGACCTCACTCTGTGTCTCTGTCGCTCTCTACAGTCTGATATTTCATGTTTTACTGCCACTAGGCATAACGTTAATTGTTCAGCACCAAACGAGTATGAATGACATGCAGCCAATTGTCGGGAAAATTTATGCCACTCTGCACAACACGACGGCAGCCGGTTGACTGGAAAAAACTTGGAATTCTAAAAACCGATTGAGTGTACACTCCATGCAACGTGGGTTCCTCTCGTGGGAAGTTAGAAAAAATACGGCAAGTCTTCGGGTCTGCACACGATAAACCTGCGATTAATCTGCTGAACAAATATTGCACAATAATGCAGTAATTTGGAAAAACTGGTTTATAATGACCCCCTCGAACAGAATGCCTACAGACGCTACCGCTGATTTTTCACCACACAACCGGTTCTAATGTTTATCGCAGAAGAAAGAGCCTCTATCATAGCGATATCACCGTTCCACCGCCAGACTCAAATGATAAGCACCTGCGTCAAATATATATATATATATATATATATATATATATATATATATATATATATATATATACGTATGTATGTATGTATAAGCAAAATGGCGGGTGACTTTGACAACAGGCACGCCTTCACTGCTTGTGGCTGACACCGACACCACATGCTCACGTCCGCCCCCAAATAACCACAATGCTGGGAGGAATCCCTCCCTCCTCCTCCTCCTGCTCCTCCCTCCTCCTCCCCCTTCCCCTCACAGGCTTTGTCGCCGTAACTACCGTGTCATTCAGGAACATACGCCTCCCCGTCCTCTTCCGAATCCCCGTTGCTCGGGGGGAGAAGGAGCTACAGTCTACAGAGGAATCGTAAACCGTGATCACAGCGTAACAGCCTATCTCGCGCACAGCGATACGATTTAACTCCTTCGCCGCATGCACGAAGGTTGCAGTGAAATACGAGTATTACACCCACGTACAGAGAGGGATGGGGAAAGAGGACAGGGAAAGCGAGAGAGAGAGCGCGCGACAGAAAGAGGAAAGGAGAGAGATGAAATGATGGGCGAGAGAGACAGAAAGAGGATAGGAGCGAAGAAAAGATGAGAAAGAGACAGAACGAGGAGAGAAAAAAAGATGGGAGAGAGAGAGCATGAGAGGGAGAGAGAGAGAGAGAGAGAGACGCTGAGTCTGCGAGAGACAGGGTCGTAGAGGAGAGCGAGTAGAAGAGGGAAAGGAGAGAGAGAGAGAGAGAGAGAGAGAGAGAGAGAGAAGAGAGAGAGAGAGAGGAGAGAGAGACGGTGAGACGAGAAGAGAGACGGAGAGAGAGGAGGGAGACCGAGAGAGAGAAGCGCTAATGCGGAGCATATGGGATGAACTTGAGTGTAGGTAGCTTGGGAATAACTTCCAATAATCAATAATTTAATTGAAAGCACAAATGCTCCTGGAAATACCACGTATTATATCCACGGGCGCAATGAGCAGTTGGCGCGGAGTAAATTCGTTTACGTGTTGCGCCTCACACGACACGTTACACGCAAGCCAGCTTAGGCTGTTAAACCACGTACAGCCAGCCTCTCCCTGCAGCCAGGAGAGGCTGATAGGTCTCTCTCTCTCTCTCTTATGCTCTCTCTTCTGTCTCTGTTCTACTCTCTCTATCCTCTTTCTCTCTCGCCCCCCTCTCTCTCTCGTCTCTCTCTCTCTCCTCTCTCTCTTCTCTCTCTCTATCTAATCTATCTCTCTCTTCCGCCCTCTCTCTCTCTCTCATCCTCTCTCTCTCTCTT